TGAAAAGACTGTTAGTTTAATATGGGTAGTTAAGATTAAACAATATGGTTGGCTTGGATTCAACCTAAGAGTGTATTTGTTTTGAAGGAAATGAAGGGAAGGAAGGGGAGGGGAGAAACTTCCTTTATTGAATTTCCCCCCCTCAAACATGCTCTGAGGCTGTGTTTCCTTTCATATCCTGGATGACCTTGATAATAGCATCAAGGAATGGTTAATCATTCTTATCATCCTGGGTGCCATTAAGTGGCAGTTTAGAAGTACAAAGTTTGTTGAGGTGTCATGTTTTAACTTGGGGCCATTTGTAAAAATGAAAATTCAAAAATTCTTGAGAATTTCTCTTGCTTAGAGGTTTTAAATATATATTAAATTTCAATGATTATATAAAATTCACAAAATTGTGTTGACATTCTAGTAAGTAGTAAACCATATCATGTTCGATGTTTGCAAGCCTTATTGCAAGATATATATATATATTTCAAGTGCTAATTGTTGTACTTACACCAATAAAGTTGTGTTACATTTTTTTGGCCTCTGTCTTTACTTAATATTAGCTTTTAAGTGATGTACATGATTGTTTCTAAATTGCAGATCTTGACGGCAAGACAGATCTTAAAATACGAGCTCTAGAAGAAGTAGAAGAGCTCAGAACTAAAAGAGCAGATAAACAGGTACTTTGAAGAAGATTCTTTCGTAGGAATTGTCATGTCATGACATCATTGAAAACGTTAATGTTTTCATTTCAGGATTTCCTTGATATTAAATGTACATAAAGTTCTTGATATCTTGGATGACATTTTCTCTTATATATGATGTTCTGTTTGTTGTTACAGTCCATGCTGCTTTGGATGCTTTCAATAAAGATTGAGCATCTTTGCCTCAAACCATTGCCAAACCCTCCACCTTTGGCACCATTGCCTGTAGCTACGCCTGATCCTTGGACCCAGGAAATGATAAATGAAAAGTTGAAGAAAGCTGAGGATCTTGGTAGGGCTTAACTTTCCTAAACTCTGTCTTTTAAGTTTGTAAAACAAAGGAGAAAAACATATTGACCATCAACATATATTAAGTTGCATATGCTATAGCTATATAACCTCTTTTTTTTTTTTTTCCTAACTTTATTTGTCACCTTCAAATTCCTAGAAATGAGATACGGGTATTGCTTAAGCTGTTTCTGAATCTTTTATTATGCTGATTTATATTCCTTTATATGTGTGCTTACACCCTTTTTTGGTAAAACCATCCTGGCCTGAAAATTTGTTTCCTCTTTCCTTCCAAAACAATGGTCAATTGTTGATAAAGACTCTGTGGCTTTCTGTTTTCTTTTTAATTGACACTCAGTGCTTTACATTAACAATGCCTTTAGAAGGCTTTCATTGAAGCCATACAGAAGGATATTAGAAAAACTGAAGTTACTAAAATATCTCTTAATTATAAAAGATAATTAAACTTATAAATCATTGAACTGAAGACTTGCTCTTGCTTGAAAGGCTTCTTGTTTCTCAAGTTAGCCCACAATTAATGGTCTTTCTGATTGATATCAATAGGAAAAGGCTGGTAGTTGTACTAAAAAAGGTTCCTTGTGATTAGGGTCTTTATTATTTGGAAATCTATTTTATTTGTTTGAAAATTGTGCTTAAATGTGTTTTATTGTACCTTGTGGTACAAAGATTTCGGGGATATATGTACTTTATGGTGGTAATTGAAATGCTCTCTCTCTAAATGATTTTCAGGTGAGAAGGGGATGATAGGTGAGGCACAAAAAGCTTTAGAAGAGGCTGAAGCACTAAAAAAGGTTTCAATTTCTGAACTTAATAGTGTTATATCTGTAGATGGATTTATATTAACTTATACTGTTCTTTTCCTTGATGGTTTGCATTATGACTTATTTGTGGATATTTGTTTTCCCATATCTGCTCAGCTCCCTGCCAGACAGGAGCCTGTTCTGGATTCCTCAAAATACACTGCTGCTGATGTTTGCATTGTGAGTCTTGTATTTCTTTTTCTCAGTATAATAGAAAGGAAAAGTTGACCCTTTTAAGAAAAAAATAGATATGAAAACTTAGATGTACTGTGACCTTACAAGGAGGATGTGGAACTTAATTTGTGTAATTAATGCATGAACAGCCAGTCACCTTCTGTAAGGGATTTCATGCAAATAAGGACACAGCCTTTCAAAACTTTTCTAATTAAGGATATGACCTTTTTCGTTACTTGCAAAGGTCATATCCTTTAGAAACTTTGAAAGGTGATAGCCTTGATTAGTAAAGAAAAAAGGTCATATCCTTAATTAGAAAAGTTTTGAAAGGTTGTGTCCTTATTTGTACGAAATCTCCTTTGATTTTAGTCAAATTCTTTTTAATCCATTTATAGAGTAATATTTCATCTGCACTAACCATTTTGATCTAATGTTATTTCAGACTCAAAAGCTACAGGTTTATGACATTTGTGGAGCATTTTTGAGTGTTTATGACAGGTACTGTGTTTATCCTCTACTTCCTGGTCATAACCTTTTATCTTAGCTTTCTGAAGGCTTCAAAAAGTTAGTGTTTGGGGTTTCAAGTGCTTCAGCTTTTGACCCGGCAATTATAACTCCTTGTTACCAGCAGGCTTTTGGGCCCAGTTTTACGAGGATAACTTTTGCAGCTACATAATGTGCATCTTTTTCTGTTTTATGTGCTTGTTGATCTTGCAATTGTTAGATAATAAATATTTAGGAAACTGTACAGTGCAAGCTCTTGCAACTTTTTCTATTTTCTGGGTAATAGTGTTTTGATTTTTCTTGTTCATTTCAGTGATCAACGTTTAGCAGATCATTTTGGAGGCAAACTTCATTTAGGCTATATGCAAAATCCATGATAGACTAGCAGAGCTTCAGGTAAGATTATTTATATGCTATGGTGGCTTTGCTTTACGAATTACATTGGGGTAGGAAGTCCCTGCTGTCCAAGATTTTGGTTTTATACATTGCCTGAACTTTTCTCCACATGCG